AAGGCATACAGATGCGTTCAACATATTTAAATTTTAATACCAGCAATATTTTTATGAAAAATTATTACCAGCAATACATTTTTGAAGGAAAAAATATTACCAGCAATTAAAAATTGTCGGCATTGAATAACACATTAATGTTGGCATGTCGTAAAACAAAACAAACCAAACCTTTGGCCATCTCAGTGTCGCAATTTGCGTCCTCTGTTAGAACACTTACCAGATATTTAAATTTCTGATCCTGCTTGATTTTAGTATCCCTGACCTGTAAATTGCATTTGGGATTCAACAGTTCAGTGCTCTTTCCTTTGTTTCCAACGAAAATTTTCTGTCTCTTAATACTCTGCTTAGCTTTCTTTAGCCATTCCAACACGTCTTCGGATTTCAGTGTCGCATTTTCCGTCCTCAATTAGAACACTTCCCAGATATTTAAATTTCTGTTCCTGCTTGATTTTAGTATCCCTGACCTGTAAATTGCATTTGGGATTCAACAGTTCAGTGCTCTTTTCTTTGTTTCCAACGAAAATTTTCTCTCTCAATACTCTGCTTGGCTTTTGGAAGGCACCTTTGGCCATTCCAACACGTCTTCGGATGTCGCATTTTCCGTCCTCTGTTAGAACACTTCTCAGATATTTAAATTTCTGTACCTGCTTGATTTTAATATCCCTGACCTGTAATTTGCATTTGGGGCTCAACAGTTCAGTGCTCTTTTCTTTGTTTCCAACGAAAATTTTTTGTCTCTTAATACTCTGCTTAGCTTTTGGAAGGCATATTTGGCCATTCCAATACGTCTTCGGATCTCAGTGTCGCATTTTCCGTCCTCTGTTAGAACACTTCCCAGATATTTAAATTTCTCTGTCTGCTTGATTTTAGTATCCCTGACCTGTAATTTGCATTTGGGGCTCAACAGTTCAGTGCTCTTATCTTTGTTTATAACGAAAATTTTTTGTCTCTTAATACTCTGCTTAGCTTTTGGAAGGCAACTTTGGCCCTTCCAACACGTCTTCGGATTTCAGTGTTGCACTTTCCGTCCTCTATTAGAACACTTCACAGATATTTAAATTTTTGTACTTGTTTGATTTTGGTATCCCCAATTATTCATTTGCATTTTGGGCTCATCCTATTGTTAACAACCATGCATTCCATCTTCTTTCAATTGAGGTTTAGTCCTTTCTTCTCGCTTTCCTACGTTCTGTAGGAGCTTTTGTAGTTTTCTTTCTGTCTGCTACCAACACTTTGTTAACTGCATATCTTATGTTGTTAATATTGTGGCCGCTAATAATTAATCATAGTAGGACATCTAATTCTCTCAGAATCGCCTCACTGGATAGGTTAAATAAGTCTGGTGAGAAGACACATCCTTGTCTTACATCTCTTTCTATTTTTGTATATTTGATGAACTCATTTTCTATCCGTATGCATTCGGTTTTCTGCTATATATCATACCAGGGTGGACAAAATGTTAACAACACAATATTCGTTTTTATGGCCGGTTATTTGCAGGTTATTTAAAGCCAGAAAATATTTTCAGATTTAAGAGGGTTTTTTGAGATAATGGTTTTAGGTAATACAAGTCTTACTAATTAACCCATAGCGGGAGGGAGAAGAGGTGGATTCATATCTAATCAGAATCTGATAAGCAAAGAAGAAATTATAATGTGGATATAAAGTAGGGGATCATTTCTATATTGCAATCAATATATGAACTGATCCCTCACGTTGTGGACACGGTCGTTTCTATACATTTATATTCCAGAGAATGTAAATGTATTTAAAAGACATTCCTATGTAGCTGGTCAGTGTTTGATTGACTGATTGATTCATTGTCTACAGTTTATCAATATTTTGAATGTTATTTAAAGCCAGAAAATATTTTTAGATCGTAAGAAATTTTTTTTTATATAATAATGATTTAGTGATACAAGTCCTACTAATTAACCCATATCTGAGGAGAGACTAGGTTGATTCATACCTTTCCCAAGGGTATTTGTACATAAGGGAATATAATGAACCCAGCAGGAATCAGAACTCAGCTCACCCACGCTTGCAGCACCTAATATTCCCAAGTGGTCACCCGGCTAGGTATTGTCCAGCTTTGACATTGCTTAACTTCGGTGATTGTATGTGGGTGTAAGCCTAAATGAAGGGTTGACGCAAGATCCCCCCAACCCCTGCAATCTATGCAATTGCCCTAAATCTATCATAAGTCCTACAAATCTATGATACAGCCCCCCCACCAGTACTACATCTCTATTTTCATAAGGTAGTATTCATATAAAATACAAATTTTATTGTAACTTAATTATGTACAATAATGGATCATATGCAACTGTGTAAGGATAGGTAAACTAATTTATTGCATAATAAATGGAAGTGTGTAAATTGATATTGTTGAATTTTATTTATATATTTATTTATTTTTTAATGTAATTATTATTTATTATTTTATTTTATTTTGATATATATATATATATATATATATGAAAAAGCAGAATGTGATGTATTTTGTCCCTTAGGACTAGGTTTTTTGATATTGATGCAAACCAAGTCCGTTAAAGTCCTAAGGATTTAAATATTGTTATCCATATATATATATATATATATATATATATATATATAAAACAGTATTAAATAATGTAGTTTAATTAATATTGTAAAATAATCATTCAAAGAATAATTCAATAAATTTAATGTAATTAATCGTAAACTAACAGATTAAAAGGCATTAACTCACTGACCACTCTCTGAATACATGATCCTTGTTTTTATTAATTGTACAATGGATTAGATGTTTGGCCCATATTGTTTGCAAGTACTTTTCGTAAAAACATTTACCATCCTCACACATAGATGTTATTTTTTTCTCAATTTCAGGTAATTTCAGTTAAAATTCCAAGATGACAAATATCACATTCATTTTCATTTTAGAATTTTACCCGTAATAACCTGAAATTGAGAAAAAAATTAACATCTGTGCCTGACGATGGTAAATTTTTTATCAAAAGTATTTGTATGTAATACGGGCCAATATCTTCTGTATATGCCGTGTCCCTTCAGGATGTAAGCGATCATAGCTCTCCACAATTTCCTGTCCTTCGTAGCGCTTAAGAATTTTTTGTCTTTTCGTTATTTCACCTAAACCCTGTTGAGTTATACATTTACTTAAGCTCATCAAGAACACTGTTTTTCCTTTGTCCCTCATGCCATCGATCTGTCCTGTGACTATCTAATCATTGAACAATTAATAAAAACATCTAATCCATTGTACAATTAATAAAAACAATGGTTATGTCATTCAGTGAGTGGTCAGTGAGTTAATGCCTTATTTAATCTGTTAGCGAAGTGAATTCACCATTTATTGCATTAACTTTACTGCATTATTCTTTGATGACTATTTTACAATATATATATATATATATATATATATATATATATATATATATATATATATATATATATATATATAGTAGGATATTAACAAATAGAGAATGTTTATAAGTATAAAATGTCCTGCTTTTTATTAAAGCCTTTGACAGAGAAAGAAATATAGAGGTGAAAAAGAAAATTCAGGTATTTTTAAATTTTTTTCTTATTTGTTAAGCAGACATCACGTGCATCTGTCTTGTCAAACAGTGTTCGTGTGTATAATTTTATCATTCTGTTGAATTTCGATTGATATTTCATTTATATTTGATCCCATATATATATATATATATATATATGATAAAAAGTTAATGGACACAGTTGAATTAGACCAGGAAACAGTAGTATTAAAAAAAAAGTGCTCAGTGCACATGTAAAAAGATAAAAATTTAACATGTAGAGCTTTGGAATCAGAGATTGGAAATTATGACCCATTGTATACATACTAAAAAGTTCCTTTTGAGTTCATATAAAGTGGAATGAAAAGAAAGTATGTATATTTCATTTACCACCTCCCCACTAATACATTTCCAATACTCTTGATTTTCCCTCCTCCTCCTCACTTTCTACCACAGCTCGTGCACTTATTCATTTATTTACTTTTAAAGAATATAGTTTTGGTAAATTTTTTATTTTTAAAAAATAAAATCTTAGGAAATCAATTGACCAAAATTGCCTAAAGATATAAAAAGTTTGAAACCAAGGTATATGAATCAGTTGATCTCTGAATTTTCTATACATATATATATATAGGGAGGCACGGTGGAGTAATGGATAGCGGCTTGGATTGAGGAATCGCAGAGCCGAGTTCGAATTCCAGTCGAATCCATTACATTCACTTACGTGCTAATACCCTTGGGAAAGGTATGAATCCTCTTCATCTCCCTCCAGCTATGGGTAAAATAGCAGGACAGACTGGGTTCTATAGCCTTGGATGGCAACTGGTCTAGGAGAAGGACAACTCTGAATTCAAAACCTGCGGAGGGTCGTTTGGGAACCTTGTGGCATTCGGTGCACCAGGTTTCTGTATTCGTCCCTCCAAAAAGTGTGGCTGGTCCTGCATGAGGCCTTCACCACTATAATCAAATCTCATGTGCCGATGTCGGGATGTCGGTTTCCTGGAAACTTATCGGCCTGACCCTCATACGTTGAACTCAACGGGAGAGTCGATTATATATATATATATATATATATATATATATATAATTATTTATTCAAAAATTATAGCTATTTTGTTTCAACACTTCTGGTGTCTTATCAAGTGATGATGTTGAATGTAGAATAAAGGATACATTATTCTGCATTCAACATCATCACTTGATAATTATGTTATAAAATCACAATTATAATTATGTTATAAAATCACTACAAAAATAGCTATTTATAAAATCACAATTATAATTATGTTATAAAATCACTACAAAAATAGCTATTTTGTTTCAACACTTCTGGTGTCTTATCAAGTGATGATGTTGAATGTAGAATAAAGGATACATTATTCTGCATTCAACATCATCACTTGATAAGACACCAGAAGTGTTGAAACAAAATAGCTATTTTTGTAGTGATTTTATAACATAATTATAGAGAGAGAGAGAGAGAGAGAGAGAGAGAGAGAGAAAGAGAGTGAGAGAGATAGAGAGGGAAAGGGGGAGGCAGAGAGAGATAGAACAAGACAGACAGACAAAATGGAAGCAAGCCAAAACTTTTGAATGAATTTTGATTCAAGGATTTCTATTTATAATTTAAACCAAGCAGGAAAAATGCCATGAAGCTGTTTATTCAGCTGATATTTTTACATTCATTTGGGGCATAAGTTACCTTGATTCACAACCCATTCATACTTACAATTGACTCAATTACCACAAGAACTCTTTCATCACCATTCGATCAAACATATACCACAATACTGCATATTCACAGTGATCCTACTAAAAATACCCAAGACATAAAAATTTCATATCTACAAAATGTCTTTGTTCTTTTTTTTAAAAAAAAATTTTCCCCCTTTTTTTCTACAAAAAGATATAAAATTATATATCAATAAATGTGGAGGAGGGGGATCGACTTAATAATGAAAATTAAATACAACAAAACATTCAAATTAAAATAAAATATAAGACCAGTCCACCCTAAGAGTGGCCATTGTATTCAGCCAATAAGCAAAATCAAGTAGCTTGCTCACTAGAGGCGAAGGTGGGGCAAAAATAAATTACAGAATGAGAAAATCAAAGGCTGAAACAGAAGAATGCCAGCAAACTGATAAACAAAGAATAGTATTTCAGCACTATTATTAATCTCCAGGTATTATTAATCTCCAGGTATTATTAATCTCCAGGTATTATTAATCTCCAGGTATTATTAATCTCCAGGTATTATTCATCTCCAAGTATAGAGAAGAAAAAAAGAAGAAAAAAAAAAAAGTCATGTCTGCCTCCCACTTTCTGTTTTATCTCTTTGGTATGACATGATTCACTAAATATTTCCTTTTCCTTTTATCTTACTTTTGCGATAGTTTTCACTCCAGTTATAACCTGAATAAATAAACTGCAATAAACTTTGGTAATAAGATATCTTTTCTTTGACACAAAGTCACAGACATACACAGATATTATATCTATCTATCTATCTATCTATCTATCTATCTATATATATATATATATATATATATATATATGCTAATACCCTTGGGAAAGGTATGAATCCTCTTCTTCCCCACACAGCAATGGGTAAATAGCAGGACATACTAGGTTCTATAGCCTTGGATGGCAAATAGTCTACCGCAGAAAGAAATAGCAGCCTTACTGTAGGAAAAAATCTGCCTCGTCATTCATGTATCGAAAGATACATGATCACCTAAGCGTGTATCTTGTATGGTACATAACTGACTGACAACAACATATATATATATATATATATATATATATATATATATATATATAGGTTGAAACAAAATATATACTTTGGAAGTAAATATATATATATATATATATATATATATATATATATATATATATATATTTCTATGTAAATCATATTCAACTTTATCTTGTTAATATCCAACCAAACAATACTTATTTGACTGGTCTATGAGGTCTTTCTGAAAAGTAATAGGACTGATATCACAAACAATTTATTTACACACACACACACACACACATACAGACACACACACACATATACATATACACATATGTATTTACACAAAAAACACATACATATATACACTTATATATAGACACACACACATATATATATATATATGCATATTTACACACAAACACACACATACACACATATATATATATTTAAACACAGACACATACATGTACACACATACATAGATATAAACACATATATATTTACACACACAATCAAACACCCACATGCATACACGCATGAGTACACACATACACACACACACAAATATTAGGAACATTTAATGACGAAGTGGAAAAAATATTTTGTATGATGCATTTTGTCATTTAAGATTACATCAGACTAAAAGGATGTTTATGTTCATGTAACTGCATATGCCCACAAGGAGAGGGGACTCTGAAATTTTAAATAAATTTTTTTGATAAAATATGTTTAGGTATATCGTCAACTTAATATCCTTTTTTTCCTTTTCTTTTTATTTATATTCTTGTCGCTTTTGTTAAGTACCCCACATTGTGATAATAGAAGATCTGCTAAGAAAGGTGAAAAAGTTATAAAAACTTGGATTCAAATTTACTGTCGATGTTTGAGCAATTAAATCAATTAATATACACCTTGATTTTAGTAAATTGCTTTCTCTTTTAATGAAAGTAGCAAATTTTAGATCAAAATTATGGTCAAACTCATTATGGCAAGCAACTAAAAAACTGTGTGTGTTTTTTTTTGTAAAAGATCTCATTTGTTTTCATATAATCTTGTTCTGCTATTTAAAAATTTACATATCATTTTTTTAGACCCAGTAATATTAATAAAAAACAACACTCACCAACATTATCTATGAACATGGCCACAGACTGCTGATTGTGTTTGGAAAATAATAACAAAAAAAAGCATTTCCATCACTCCAGGTACATACAGAAAAATCTACAGATTCAATTAAAAAAAAAACAACAACAAAAAAAATTCCTTGATAATGTCTAATAGAATAGCTGAAAGCACTTGGATATACAAAATATTTGAACAGTTTTTCCACATTTTATGTTCAGAAAAGGAATGACTCATATGAACAAAAGAAAAATTGAATAAAAAGCTTAATCACAATACTTTGTTACACATCTTTAATGAAACTTGTATAAAAGAGATATTGCTGCCCAAATACACAATTTTATATATATATATATATATATATATATATATATATATATATAAAAGAAATATGTTGTAGTGGTTCCAACGAGAGAAAAAGTATGTATATTAAAAAGAAGAGGGTGCCGCAAACGTTTTTGGTTGTAATGTGGATTTATTGAGAAAAAATATTATACTTTGTTTTACATAATTAATAAACAGAATGTTTCTGGTCTATCGAGAATACTGTCTTCATTGAAACATGAAGAAAAATTTTAATATTTTAAAAATAATTAATTTTTCTTCATATTCAATTGAACATGGAATATTCTAATATAAAAATTCCACTTTCACCTGGAAGACCAGACCAGACCAGAAACACGTGTCGGGAAATTATGTAAAACAAAGTATAATATTTTTCTCAATAAATCCACATTACAACCAAAAAACGTTTATGCAATTCTCTTCTTTTTTTATATATATATATATATATATATATATATATATATATAATGTAATGGATTAAGACAGTTATTTAATATATTTTCTGTTTATACGTTATTTTATAGATACAATTTATTTAAGTAAATTCAGGCTGGTTAATGTAATTAATACTGTTTAATTAAAAAAACAGAGCATTTACTTAAATAAATTGTATCTATAAAAAATAAGATACAGAAAAATATTTTTATATATATATATATATATATATATATATATATATATATTCGCAAATACAAATAAAGTTATACATTTTTAAAGTGCACACAATCTTTATGGACACCCTGTATATATATCTAAACATGTTTTCTTAAATTACATTGAAAAGATCTGTCTATTTCATTTTTTTATCATAATTATTCAATTTTAGAATAAGATGTATTTCAGGATCAAAATTATATCAAAATTATCTTAAATTCATGCTTTTTTTCTCTCTTAGAAAAAAATATTAAATCTACCTAAATGCCATTTTTTCTCAACTGAGCATCTAAAACCTGGGAGATACCTTCTAATCCAGTTTTTAGTGAAAAAAATTGAAGGCAATCTTATATGTGATTGGATATAGTATGTAATATGGATTCCCAAAAAAAGATGATATATAAATTCCGTGTTATTTTACTATATAAAAAATGAGGTATATATTCTTCAGTGCATCTATTTATTTATTTTTAATCATTCACCCCAAGCAAGGTGATATTGCCACAAAAGCACAAGTGGTTACTGGGAGTGAAAAAGAATGAGAAATCTTTAGTGTGGAGAAGGGACAATAAAAGAACAGAATTCAAGAAGATAGTAGATGGTGATTGGTGTTATATTTAAGCTTTTGAAGATTGTAGTTGATAGGGAAGCACAAAACTGGAAGGGAGTTCCACAGGCAAGAAAATAAAATATTAGAATAACATCTAGCTAGTTCAATATTAAAAAGATGAGACCTATTTGCCAGTCTAGTAGTATACTAAAATTCTTTGAGTCAATGCACCAAGAAGGAAAGCTTATCAGAAAAATTGTCATGAAATATTTGTAGAAACTTCAGAGGGAAGCCATATTACAGTGGTGGGAAAGTGACTGAAGTTGATATATATATATATATATATATATATATATATATATATATATATATATATATATATATGTGTGTGTGTGTGTGTGTGTGTATGTGTGTATATATATATGTATATGTTTCCTTTAAAAGCAACTGACAATAAACTGTGGTTAAAGCTGCCGTTCCTTGTCAGTTGTTTTTAATGAAACTTGCATGAAAGAGGAATTGCTGCCCAAATACACACTTATATATATATATATATATATATATATATATATGTGTGTGTGTGTGTGTGTGTGTGTGTGTGTGTGTGTGTGTGTGTGTGTGCCACCAAAAATGTACTGACTTGGCTTTGTTTGAAAAGTGGTGCTCGTCAATTTGAATATTTATAAACATGAATTTTATTTAATTTAATATTTAATTTTAACCATTAATCTTCTTTGTAAGTCTATCAACACTGCATTTAATGTCATTTAAAGTGTGAGTCCATTTTGGGTGTACTGCCAGTATATATATATATATATATATATATATATATATATATATATATATATATATATATATATATATATATATAATAATAATAATAATAATGGTGTGAGTCAGTGGAAATGATTATATGATGAATCAACTGAGTGACAAATTTTATATTTGTATTAAACCTATATATACATATATATTTTTATATATATATATATATATATATATACATACATATATATATATATATATATATATATATATATATATATATATATATATATATATATATATATATATATATACACATACATATATATACATACATATATATATATATATATATATATATATATATATATTCTGTGGATATCAAATTCTAGCAAATGTAGCATTTTATTACTTTTAAATCTTCATTTTTATTTAGTTAATATTCAAACAGAAAATATTTAGTTAACACTTGGATATAAAACTGTCAGAATTTATCTTAGATTATTTTATATGTGATATTAATCATAAAAAATCTCCACCAAATTGCAATAAAATAGCAGCAAGAATAAAAACTAAATATACAGAATTAATAATTTTTTTTTCTTATTTTAATCCTTGAATAATTCTGTAAAAAAAATAACAAGGAATAATAAATTGAACAAAATAATAATTAAAAAAAAAAAAAAAAATTCTTTAAAAGATTTACCTAAATGGGATTTTTGAATTTTGTGTGTTTGTTAGCTGGTTACAGAGTCCATCCTATGTTTCTCAACTGGCAAAAATAAAGAATGTCACATCAGCAATGGAAGCGGCCATATCGTACCAACTGGCAAGAAAGAAGAAAAGAAAAGATGCAAACATTCAAGAAATAAGAAAAGTGGTATGGGTGACACACACCAGTAGCTTCTGGTATATTATTAAGCCCCTGAAAATATGGAAACTAATGAAACTTGCAGTAATGTCTACAAGAGAGAGAGAGAGGGAAGAGAGAGAGAGAGAGAGGGAAGAGGGAGAGAGAGAAATACTAGTGGACTGAATTGGAATAAAGATATGGTGTTTCATTACCTATATAAATAGTTAAAGACTTACTGATTCACAATGTTATTTTTCTTTATAGTTGTATAAATATTTCTCAGCTGGGCAACCAGGCACTGCACATTAAAAATAAAAAAAAGGATAAAAAAAGAAAGAGAGAGAGAAATAGTGAGAGAAAGAAAGAGAGAGAGAGGAAGAGAGAGAGAGAGAGAGAGAGAGAGAGAGAGAGAGAGAGAAAGAACCACTTTAAACCTATTTTTTATAATATCCAACGTATAAAATGACATTTTATTTTTTAATGTCAGACGAGAAGGCAACTCTTTTTTTTATTTATCAAATATTACATTTTACTAAGCAAAATCTGTGAGAAATGGGTTACTTTCATTTAATTTTTGCTTGTAAGGAAGTTCCCGACAGATGCTTCTTTGTGTAGCAGACTCCCAAGAGGATGCTTCCCCAACCACTCCAATCTTAACTTCTTCATGCTTAGGTTTAAACATCTATCTGACATATTCTCATAATCTATAATTCTTACATCCATAAAACAATGCCATTCAGTAACCCTCTACCTTGAGTGGCTCTTCAGTCTTGTATTAGATGTTCAATAGCATAAAAAAAATTGATTGTATCATGTCAAGGTTGAATATAAAAATGCAAGGCATTGAAAAATATAATTATACTTCGATGTGTGATGATTATGGCTCTCCACAACTGCCTAATCTTTGTGGCTTTTAGCAATGTTTGTCTTTTTTGCACCCTGTTTTGACATCCATTTACACAAGGTTGTTAGGTAGATTACTTGCTGTTTATCTCTTGTCCTCAAAATGTCCTGTGGGTGTCAAATTTTTCAAGCCTTCTTTCCTCCTTGTATACCCCAGTAATTTCAACTGTCTCTTTCTGATTCTAAGTATAAGTGACCTTTTTGTTTCTATTTTCCATTTATTTTCTTTCTTTTAATATCATTTCACCCAAAGCAAGGCGATAATGCCACTAAGATGCAAGGGATTACTGGGAGTGAAAAAGAAGAGAAGACATTAAAAGAACCGGGTTCAGAAAGACAGAAAAAGGAAATTGGCATTGCATTGAAATTTCTGAAGGTTCTAGGAGATAGAATAGCAAAAAAACCAGAAGAGAGTTCCACATGTGAGAAGTGTGAGAAAAGAAAATATTAGAATAGAAAATACTGTTGTATTGAGGTAGTTAAACAGTAAAACCGTGAGACCTAATTGCCAATCTAGTAGCATGCTTAAATTCATGTAGTTATGGCACCAAGGAGGAAAGCTTTTATCTTAAAAATGAAAAAAAGAAGCTAGATTGCTATGTAATATCTACTCTCCTAAATGGCAGTGAAAGTTGGACTCTCAAATGAAGAGCAAACTTGAAATAACTGAGATCTGGATCTACTGATGAATGTTAAGAATACCAGAGATAAGGCATGAGACAAATGAGGAAGTTTTAAAGAGAACAATAATTACAAAGAACTGTTACTAAAAATCAGGTATATATATATATATATATATATATATATATATATATATATATATATATATATAGAGAGAGAGAGAGAGAGAGAGAGAGAGAGAGAGAGATGGAATTCTTGTTACTAATAATGAGGAAAGAATTTAACACTGAAGGAACATAGGTTGAATATAAAAATAAAATCATATCATATTCTCATAATCTATAATTCTTACATCCATAAAACAATGCCATTCAGTAACCCTCTACCTTGAGTGGCTCTTCAGTCTTGTATTAGATGTACAATAGCATAAAAAAATTGATTGTATCATGTTAAGGTTGAATATAAAAATGCAAGGCATTGAAAAATATAATTATACTTCGATGTGTGATGATTATGGCTCTCCACAACTGCCGAGAGCAAAAGCAGAGAGTAAACTTGGAGAATTTAACATTCCAAATGACACATTGCAGGCAAAGGAAGCAGAGAAAAGAACACTTGGAAACTTTAATACTCCAAAGAACACATTGCAGGCAAGTAAAGCAAAGAAAAGAACACTTGGAAAATTTAACACACAAAAGGATACATTGAAGGCAAGTAAAGTAGAGGAAAAAAAACATGGAAACTTTAACACTCCAAAGAATACATTGAAAGCGAGTGAAGCAAAAAAAAAAAGAACACTTGGAAAATTTAACACTTCAAAGAACACATTGCAGGCAAGTGAGGCTGAGAAAAAAACCTTTAAGACTTTAACACCCCAAAAAACTCTTTCAAGGCAAGTGAAGCATAGAAAAGAGAACATGGAGAAGTTTACACTTAAACGAACACATTGAAGGCAAGTGAAACAGGGAAAAGAAAACACGGAGAATTTAACACTCAAAAGGACATATTGAAGGCAAGTGACAAATTTAAGTAAAAAAATAAAATATGAGATCAATGATGGAAAGTTCTCATCACAACCAAGTTCATCTAAAAAAATCTGCAATGACTTTTGGCTATTTGATCAGATTCTAGGAAGTTGTACAGGCAGATACCTTCTCAGCACCCCCTCATATAAAGTGGATGCTGGAAAGATCAAGGCCTAACGAAGAAGAATGAATTAGACCCCATGAAATATTACATGTTCTTCTACATATATGTTTATCAAGCATCTTTACCGCCCCAGCTCCCAGCCACTTCTGGTTTTTGGCCATTGAATTATTGATTTTCGACAGTATCGCTTATTGCGATCACTATACATTCCCAGTGTAGCTTAGGAAGAAAAAAGTGAGAAAAAAATGCGACTTCACATTCACAAATTCATTTGAACATTTCATAGGAATTTAAATTTGATAACATTTGTTTCCCCTTCAGTCAGCTGGTCTGATTAAACGAGGTTAGTTTAATTAACCTAATTATCAATTTTTCGAAAAGACAACATTTCTCAAGTTGATAAGCATAACACACACACACACACACACACACACACATGACACGTTTGGCGGAGGAGGCACGTATTCAAAAAAAAAAAAATCTAAAATTGCATTTTTCACTGCAAATTATTAATTATATCATATACAAGTATTTTACAAAAACTTAGAGCCGATTAATTTCAAGCCCAATTTAGGCTTATAGTTTGTATTTTGTGAACCATGCAATGAGATGAGGTAAAAAAAAAACGTAGATTTGTCTGCGGTAGATTATTACGTAATTATAGTGAAATCATTAAGATTTTTTGTCAAAAGCATTTTATTTTTGGTCGTATATTAATTTAAAATATTCCTTTTTACAGGCTTTATTTTTGAAATGGAATAAGATCATTCTAAATTTCAGAATTTCGCTATTGCCCATCAAAATGACTGAAAGAAAGCGATCTAAAAACAACAATGGAAAAGTGAGGTAACAAAGCATAAACGAAATAGCTCCAGTTTGTTCAACTTAGGAAACTTAGCATTGCAGCCAAAGTATTCTAAAAATGCTGCCAATAACAAAGGAGAAAATGAAAACAAACAAACAAACCCCCATTTTTTTTCAAAAACCCAAAAATAAATACAAACAACAACAATTCTTACTTATTTTTGGGTTTTTGAAAAAAAATGGGGGTTTGTTTGTTGTATTTGGGGCTGGTTATTTGTTTGTTTTTGGTGGCTGTGTGTGTGTGGCGGGTGGGGGTTTGTAGTCCTTGTTGGTTGATTTGTATGGTGATGTTTGGTTTGGTGTTCAATGTGCTGGGTGGGAGGGTAGTTCAATTTAATAACGGGTCTATATTAATCAGTTTGTCTGACGATCGCTAAAGCGTGAAACCCAGGGTCACAAACTCACATCTATCCAACCAAATATGTTAGCTCTATCTCTGATATTGAGCGCTTTCTAATAAGTAATTATGTATATAATATATAAATAATTATACATACTTATATTTATTTATATTTATATATTTTTTCACACACATATATATATATATATATATATATATATATATATATATATATATATATATATGTGTGTGTGTGTGTGTGTGTGTGTGTGTGAGAGAGAGAGAGAGAGAGATTGTGTGTGTGTGTGTGTGTGTGTTTAAAACAGGATATCGAATCATGACAAAATTTTTAAGAAATGTAACAACTGGAAAGCATTTCATTTGAAATAGATTTGATTACGCGTTTCGCCATTCTAGGCTTCATCAGATCCCAAAACGAAAGAAAGAAATGTGTGTATGTGTATTTGTGTGTATGCTTAAATAATGAACCATTGTACTTTTTCCCTAAGCTGGCATTTCTCATGATTAAAGAAGAAAGAAAATGAGTGACTTTTAAAAAGGCCATTAATATTTATTCTGTATCTTTTCTTTATAATTCTTAGTTCATGTCGAAAGTTATTAATATATTTTTCTCAGTTTTTCTAAATCGAATTAAAGCTAAATCCTTATTTAATTTTCAGAATGGCTCGAAAAAACAAGAGATTCGTATAGCCTAGAAAGGCGAAACACGTAATCAAATCTAGTTTCAAAGAACCGTTTTTCCAATTGTCAAATTTCTTCAAAACTTTATCCTATCTTAAACACATATTGTCGACACAGAAAACACATGGACAGACCTAACGACAGATAAATCTTTTACTTTTGACCCATTCTGAAGGATTGGATGATGATTTGTGTTGGATTCGTTTCAGAAAAGCTGTATGAATCTCTTGCTTTCCAGCTATTCTGAAAATGTGATGAGAATTTACCTTTAATTCGAAACAGAAAACCTTGGAAAAATATATTAATAACTTTCGACATAATTAAATGATTCAATAAATTAATAAAAGTTCAACTGACTTATCTGGTTAGCTGAGTCAAGAGTTTTGCGTTGAAACTGTTGAGTCGGCTAACCTGATAAGTCACCAGATAAGATTTTTTTTTCAATTGAACAGATTATCCAAAACTGGGTGTTGTCAGTGTGGTAGACAAAATTTTGATGGCTACACCCTGACATTTTTTGAAGGACTGGAATTTGCATCAATTCAAAGTGACGTCATGTGTTATGGTTAAATAGTTAGACCGCACGAGAAAAGCATGTATCAAATATTTATATGTATTATTATAACCATTTTGTACACACACACACGCACACACATATCTATAGACACACACATTATACAGTCTATCTATCTATCTATCTATCTATCTATCTATCTATCTATCTACAGTGGGGAAAATAAATATTTTGTCCCCTGCTGATTTTCTGAGTTTGCCACCTTACAAAAATGGGAACAGTCTATAATTTTCAGGGAGGTCCGTCTTGAAAGTGAGAGATAGAATATAAAATAAGAATTTCTAGAAAATCACATTATATTAATTTTTGAACATTTTGAATTTCTTTTTTTATTGAAAAAATTAAGTATTTCACCCCATACCAAAACATAACTCAGTATTTGGTGAAGAAACCCTTGTTGGCAAGCACAGCAGCCAGACGTTTCCTGTAGTTGGTTACCAAATTTTTACAGATCCCATGGGGGGTTTTGACTGACTCCTCTTTGCAGATCCTCTCTAAATCCTTAAGGTTTGTTGATTGTCGTTGGGCAACTCGAAGCTTCAGCTCCCTCCACATATTTTCTAAAGGATTAAGGTCCGGAGACTGACTAGGCCACTCCATTACCTTAATGTGTTCCTTCTTGAGCCACCCCTTTGTTGCCGCATCCATCTTTCCCTCAACCCAGTGTAGTCATCCTGTCCCCTTAGCAGAGAAACAGCCCCAAAGCATAATGTTTTCCCCACCATGCTTAATGGTTGGGATGGTCTTCTTGGGGTCCAAGTCAGCTTTTTTCCCCTCCAAACACGGCAAGTCGAGTTGATGCCTAAAAGCTCAATTTTAGTCTCGTCTGACCACAACACTTTCTCCCAACCCTCCTCTGAATCATCCAGGTGCTCATTTGCAAACTTCTGACGGGCCTGTACATGTGCCTTCTTGAATAAGGGGGCATTACGGGCACTACATGATTTCAGTCCACTACGACGTAGTGTGTTACTAATGGTCATCTTGGTGACTATGGTCCCAGCTGCTTTGAGATCTTCAACAAGCTCTTGCCGCTTAGTTCTCAGTTGTTTCCTCACCTTTCTCATCATCAGAGCATGGAGCTCCAGACCAAGGGAGATTGATAGTCAATTATTGTTTCTTCCATTTTCTTATTATCGCACCAACAGTTGACTCCTTCTCACCTATCTGCTTGCCAATTGTCTTGTAGCCCATTCCAGTCTTGTGCAGGTATACAGTTTTGTCCCGGATGTCCTTAGAAAATTCTTTTGTCTTGCTCATTGTGGAGAGATTAGATTTTGATTCATTGGAGGATTCTGTGAACTAGTGTCTTTTATACAGGTAATGAGTACTTGATTAATAGGACTAGTCTTTATGCCTCCTGGTCACATAACCGGTCTGTGGGGTCTGAATCATTGTTGGTTGGTAGGGGGTGAAATATTTATTTTTTCAATAAAAAAGAAATAAACGTTCAAAAATTAACATAATGTGATTTTTTAGAATTTTTTTTATATTCTATCTCTCACTTTCAAGATGGACCTACCCTGAAAATTATAGACCGTTCCCATTTTTGTAAGGTGGCAAACTCAGAAAATCAGCAGGGAATGAAATATTTATTTTCCCCACTGTATCTATCTATCTATCTATTTTTATTATCTATGCCAGTCATTTCATATCCATATATCTATGTATCTCAGTATGTTCATATCTATCTATCTATCTATCTATCTATCTATCTATCTATCTATCTATCTATCTATCTATCTATCTTTATCAGTCATCTCATATCTGGAAAATAGACAATTTCTGACGAAACATCCTTCTTATCTGAGAACGATTATTCGTAATTTGTAAAAGTCAATCAATAAAATAAATCAACACAAAATGTCTGTTTCTTTAATAACATTTGTTTTAAAAAAACATTTGCCACCTAAATACACACACACACACACACACACACAACACACGCACATATATATATATAGTTTTCAGTCAGCACCTGACGACTGCATTGTGCATGAAACTCAGAGTTGTATATCTGTATATCTATCTATCTATCTATCTATCTATCTATCTATCTATCTATCTATCTATCTATCTATCTATATATATGTATATATATATATGATATAAAAGGCTCAAACACTAATATTCCATGGTTATAATTTGTTACAATTCTTACTCTGTCCTGGACATTGAGTTCTACCTGGATTCTATCTAATCACTAATATTATCTATCTATCTATCTATCTATCTATCTATCTATCTATCTATCTATCTATCTATATGTGTATTTTGTATGTGTGTCTATGTGTGTGTCTATGTGTGTGTCTCTGTCGGCTGAAGCTTATGAAAGTAGTTTTAAAGGCATTGACATTGAGATCAACATCATTGGCATCATTTCCGAGATGATGTAGGAATACTGTGACATCAGTAATGATGTCTGCAGAGATAGCTAGGTCATTAGGTGAATCTATAAAATCTGTCGCATCTTTTACATACCTAGGAAACGAGATAAATTCTACTGATAGGATGTGAAAATTTGCATAGCTAAAGCCTGGCCCGCCTTGAATAAAATAGATGGAAATCTGATCTACCAGACAAACTTGAGAGGAGATTCTTCCGAGCCACTCTAGAGGCGGTGTTAATGTATGGTGCCAATGCCTGGACATTATTAGTTAATATCCAGAATCTAAGCTTGATGGAACCTATCCTCGGATGCTGAGAGCTTTACTTAACATCTGGAGACAGCATCCAATTAAATCACAGCTCTGTGGACCCACCCCTGATACTTCTACAACCTTGCGTGAACATAGAATGCACTCTGCAGGACACAGCAAGCAAAACAAAAACTCGCGACTGATCTAATTTTCTGGACACCTAGCCATGGAGCGAGACGAATTGATTGCCCGGCAACCACTTACATTGACTAGCTATGTTATGACACAGAATGCCTCCTTGATTACCTTCTGACTTTGATGCAGGACCATGATGATTGGTTTGATAGACTCATGAATGTTCAAGTTAACTCGACCAAATAAATATGATTTTTGAATTCTGTTTTGTTTTCATTGGTTCGGTAGACATCGCGTGTTCATTTTATGCCATTAGTATATATATATATATATATATATATATATATATATATATATGGATCGATTTTGTTATTTGAGCATTGCATGTTTACCTCATTGCATCTCTGTGATATATATATATATATATATATATATATATATATATATATATATATATATATATATATATATATATATATATATATATACAGCCCCCCAAAGAATTTACCTCAACATAGGTATAATCTATTTCCAAGCGTTCTTCACACGGTTAGGTAATTTTTTTTTTTGCTGTAAAAAAATACATATAGTTTGTTAAAATAAAACATCAAGATCCCTGTGGATCAGTTTTAATTATTAATATTACTAGGATCCACATGGATTATATACCAACAGATCGATTACATGTACTATATATATATATATATATATATATATATATATATATATATATATATATATATATATATATATATATAAAAGTGAACATTGAAGTCAACACTCAGAGGCGACGAGCTGTTTCATGCTAGGCGAAATTGTCAGGCCGCCTGATGATTGCGTCTAGGATGAAACTGCCTGTCGGCTCTGAGTGTTGACTTCAGTGTTCACTTTTATATTTATATTTACATACGCTCTATCTTTGATATTGAACACTTTATCCCATAAATATCGCACACCTTAAAACTATATTTCTTCATACATATATATATATATATATATATATATATATATATATATATATATATATATATATATATATATATATGTATAATTAGGTTTTGCTCTACTTAACGTATTGAGCACTTAGCTATTTTACTTACTCGTATCGGGGTTTTTTTCTTTGGACTCTGAACTTGGATGCTAGACGATTGTCTTCGGCTGACGTACATGTTCTCTGTTCTTTCCTTTTTATTTTTGTACCTTTTCCCCTTGGGTATTGGTCTTTATATTTACATATCAAGGCATCCAAGGTTTTCCGGACGAGTATAATTTCTTATTTTTACATTATTTATATTATTACTATTTATAATATATATATATATATATATATATATATATATATATATATATATATATATATATGTATATATATATTCACTATGAGAAATATAATTGCAACACCGTAAATATGTTTTAGTTTACCTATAACTAGATTGTATAAATGATCTCATATATACACACCTATACGTGAAATGGTACCAAATTGAGGGACGTATCAATAAATTACTTAGACCTTATATTACAACTGATTTTCCTCCATGGGTGATAACACAGTTCTGTCGGGTGCTATCACAGGAATAGGACCATGCAGATGGTAAATAACATCTAATGATCGATTATTCCATGCTACTTACACCTGTTGATGCAATGCTAACCTAAATGACTACTTGCGACTTTTTAGGTTAACATTTTCCGCTTTCATGATGTGGAAAGATAATATTGAATCAATTGTTAGGTCTGCTGCTATGAAAAGTTGATTAACTGTGTCATCCTAGACAATTTTTCTTGCCATAATCTGTCTTACATATTTATAAGACCTACCATTCGGCCATACATTGAATATTGCTGTCATGTCTGGTCTGGTGCTTCTGCTATGTACCTAGAGATTGTCAATAAGATCCAAAGAAGAATTTGCAATGTTGTTGGTCCTGACATTGCGTCATGGTTTCAGTTCCATCCCCACCGCTATAACATAACTTCCCTGTGCCTTTTCTTTAAAAATATTTTCATGATAATTGTTCTGGTGAGATTTCCGCTTTGTTACATTGACTTTAAACATTTAAGCGCAGTACTAGATTGGCAGATAGGTCTCATCATTTTACCATTAAAATTGGTAAATCTAACTCTATCTTTAAGTTCTATGCTAAAAGTTTCTTCGCTTGCACGTCTCACTTGTTGAACACTTTTCCGGCTTCTTACTTCCCAGTCAACATTGATGTTTAAAAATTTAAAGGCAATTTCTATTGTTATCTTCTGTCTTCTTAATTACTGTTCTTTTATTGTTCTCTCTCCTTAATAGTACTTTCTTTTTCTCATATTTTTGACACTCAGTAATCATTTGCGTTTCAGTGGCTTTATTGCCTTTCTTAGGGTGAAATGATGAAAAAAATGCAGCTAGAATTGCACGTGGGATAACTGAATGAATCAGATGTAGCCTCATCCTATCCCATACATGTTCAGTAGTGGTGTGATGAGTTAGGGGGGTGAATATCTTGCAAAACATGTTGAGTAACATGGGCATCATGTGGCTGGACACTATCCTGCCGGAGCATCATGTTGCCTTTCTGCCTCAGGCACACAAATGAATATCACTAAAAAGGCTATCTAATAAATAATAAAGAAAACTGTTATATCATGAGGAGGCACGGTGTAGTAATGAATAGCGGCTCGGATTGAGGAATCGGAGAGCCGAGTTCGAATTCCAGTTGAATTCATTTACATGCTAATACCCTCTTCTTCTTCCCCCAGTTATTGGAAAATGGCAGGACAGACTGGGTTCTATAGACATGGATGGCAACTGGTCTACTGCAGAAAGAAATGGCAGCCTACTGCGGGAAAAAATCTGCCTCGTCAGTCATGTATTGAAAGATACATGATTGCCTAAGTATGTATCGTGCACATAACTAAATGACTGTTATACCATGATAGTATAGACATTGCACTTGAATTCTATACCAACTTGTCAAAAGAAGCCATATTGACTTGTGTATACTCTTGGCCACTGAATAGAGATGTATGTGACCTAATACCTATGGTACCACAAGTGTGGGAACCAGAATGTTGGACAGGTGGTTATTACTCCAGACATTATTTTTTAGTTGATACTCGTGTTTGAATAGGCACCCCGGCCGGTGTGTTCAAGAAGATTAAAGCAGGCTGGATCAGACAATGGTTTCTCCTATAACGGGAAATGCAGGTTTGAACCCTACCGGAGATCACACTCACTTTATTAGTTCAATCGAATGTGCAGACCGGTGGACGTAATTCACACTGTTTAAAAAACAGAGCATCTACTCAGACATGAGTATCTTCTAAAATAGCGTTTGGAGATATAAGAAAAACAGATGCATTCGAGTATTTCACACACATCGTAGTCAGAATGTAAGTTCCACGTCTCGGTCCATCGGCATAGAATAACTGACAAACTATTAGAGTGAATAATAAATGTTAAGTAATGAAGATTAAATCACTTGTTATTATTCGTTACACCCACTTCATTTCAATGTTACTCAAAGAGAAAAATATTAAAATAAATGGGTATTAAACATGGTTGGAGAGAGAATGCTAAATAATACAAATACTAGAAAAAAGAAAAAACAAAGCGATATAATTAAAAGAAGTAATATATCAAGCAATTAAAACCACAGGGTGATGAAAAATGCACACGCTCAAAACAATACTAATTTATAAAGAATTAATGAGTTACTTCAAAAGAGCCTTTTTTATTTACTTAATGACAAATGCAGCCATCTTGTGTTGTTCAACTTGGCTGTTTCATTAACGAACTGGATCAGGTTTAGGTTAGTTGGACTAGTGAGAGTAATTAACAAAACAAAATCATAATGAATATTACTTTAAGTCACACGCTGGTTTGGCTCAGTGGCAAAGCAAAGGACCAGCTGCTTACGGTTAAATCACGCTGAAACACCGGTTCTCGTTCGATCACCGAAGTTAAGCATCGTAGAGCCAGGTCAGTACTTAGATGGGGGACCGCTTGGGAACACCTGGTACTGTAAGACCCCAAATTCCAACCCTTACCTCACAGTCGGTGGGGGGTGTAAACGGTAGTGTCAGAGCTATGCCGCCCGGAACTTCGTTCCTGGTAGGGCCACCCAAGGCGGACAGGTCTGACACACACGCCGGCTAACAAGGGCTCTGGTGAAAATCCAAGGAGCGTCGGTAACCGGCGGCTTCTGGTCGTTCCTGTCTCTGCGTCTGTGGGAATCCCGCGGCAAGCAAGAACGTTATTCGAGTAGGCCTGGGTACCCTACTTCTGTAATTTATCCCAAGAATCTTCTTCTCATAACAGGAAGAAGCCGGCTCAATCCGCCCAGGGTGAATGCCGCATCAGTACAGCAGTACAGTAAAGGACCAGCTGCCTGATAAATTATATACTTTTGCATGTCATTACTTTAAACTCGCATGTCAAGCTGGAATATGAACACAGATTTCTGTCAAAATAATATTAAAAGCCTTGTGACACTCTGTCTGGGGC